GGGTGAAATCTCAAATAATAATGGTGGGTCTGGTGTCGAAATATTGAATGTGATCAAAGTAGAGAGAAAGTAATGTGGAAATCATCTGCCCCACAGGTAGGTGGAGGGTGCGGGATGGGGGTATACTGGGGGTTTTGGGGGTGGAGAATGGGCACTGGTGAAGGTACTGGTGTTTCATTGTATGACCGAGACTTAGACCCGAAAGCTTTGTAACTGCTCTCACAATGATTCAATAAATAAAATTATAAAAAATGAAAAAAAAAGTAAGGTGGAGTTCATGCACAATTCAATCAGCTAATCAGTGGCTGAATAAATAGCAGTACTCCTACATAAAAAAAAGAAAAAAATATGAAATGAGTATGGTATTTATGAAGACTGGCTAGTTCTCTCAATATCACTATGGAAGGTCTGGAGAATTCTCATTCCTTCAGCAAACTGTGTGATTGCTTAGATTTTTATTTCTTGAGTAAAATTGGAATAGTAATGCCTGATAGAGGGTTATAGTAACTCGTGCCTATCTATTTATGAAAGTGATAGAGGAGCTGGAGAGATAGCACAGCGGGTAGGGTGTTTGCCTTGCACGTGGCTGACCCGGGTTCGATTCCCAGCATCCCGTATGGTCCCCTGAGTACCGCCAGGAGTAACTCCTGAGTGCAGAGCCAGGAGCAACTTCTGTGCATCGCCAGGTGTGACCCAAAAAGAAAAAAAAGTGATAGAGAAAATAGAAAAGTGATGTAGCTTTATATATATGTATATATATATATAATATATATATTATTGAATAAGATTGTGTTCTGTGTCTGTGTTTCAGCACACTATAGGAGGGTGCATGAAGAAGACAGCCCTGCTCCATTGTATTTTTTCTGTTCATCTTCCAAATTTACCCATCAGGTACTATTAAGAAGTCATTTTTGTCAGTGTTTTCATTCCAGTTCATAGGAGAGAAATATTTGGGGGGGGGGGTATAGTTTGGCAGTATGCAAGACAAGCACCGGGCTGGAGCAATAGCACAGCGAGTAGGACATTTGCCTTGCACGCGGCCGACCCGGGTTCGATTCCCAGCATCCCATATGGTCCCCCGAGCACCGCCAGGAGTGATTCCTGAGTGCAGAGCCAGGAGTAACCCCTGAGCATCGCCAGGTGTGACCCAAAAAAAAACACACACAAGCACCTTATCTTCTGTACTATCCCTCAGTACATTCTTATGGATAAAGTCAATGTATTGATTTGCTCTTCTATTCAATTAAAAAAAATTGGGGCTAGGGGCAATTTTTACTATATCAAGGAGGCTTGACTTGGTTAGGAATATAGTTGTTCAGTGAATATTTTTTTCTCTGTTGAGGCCAAATCTCAGAAGGTAGCTATAGGACATTGGAAGAGAAATTAATGTTTCTGTTACTTTGCTTTTCTCTTTCCCTTTTTATCCCTTTTATTTTAGACAATGGGTCTCCTATTCCTGTTGCCTAGCACAGTGCTTGGTGAAACAGTGATGCTAATGATTACTTATTTAGTGGCTTAGGGAATAAGCCTTCCCAGGTCACTTCAGGCCAGGGAAGAGCACAGAAGTATCACCGCCAATTTTCTTCTGGTGGTGGTTTAGTTCATGGACTTTTTTTTTTTCTGTTAAAATGGGGAAAACCCCAACCTCAGACTACCTTGCTTAGAACCCCTTTCATTTTCTTCTTCCTCTTTCCTCCTTTCTTTCACCCCCTCACTCTCTCCCTTTCCCTCTTCATCCCCCCCTGTAATTTGATCTCTCTCCCTCCCTCCTCCACCCCACCTCCTTAAATACAGACACCCTTCCTGAATTTCTTGGGCCACATTTCTGGGACCTGTGCAGTCAAACTTAATTTTTCTGGTACTTTCTAGAAACCGCTGAACATGCTATGCTTCTGAGCAAAGGTGAACAAAAGAATAACAACAACAAAATGCACCTGTGGAATCTCCCTGCCTGGCTCTGGAAGGAAGGTTCTGTAGTTTAGTATGCTATGGTGAATCTATATCTTCCTGTAGGACAGGCTGTGGGGAGGATCTAGCTCTTACAACTGAGAGAGAAGGAAAAGGAAGGAATGTTGGAGAAAATATTTAAAGTTATAAATGAGTGTTGGCACTAAAAAGATTTCAAGAAATAGTGGGACACAGGTACCCAGAGAGTCAGAAGGTTGGGCTTAGGCACGGTGACTCAAAAATAAATAAGTAAACACCCAGCCACAGGGCAGGTTTTGAGGAGAACTGATATATCAGAGGCATTGGATCATTCCGCTGTAAAAAAAAAATTTTAAAAATAGTAGGCAGCTCAATGAAAATGGCAGAGTAAAAGGCTCTAAGGTCCATAATATCCAATATCCTTTGGACTCATAAGGTCCAAACTCAAAAACATACATACATATCAGAGAGAGAGAGAGAGAGCGCATCTGAACGCAAATGTTCAAATTAAGAAAATCATTACTGGGGCAAAGGAAATAACAAAGGGCTACAATGCACCCTTTGTATGTAATGCACCCATTGTATGGTCCAGCACTGCAAGGTCCCATGCATAAAACTGGGAGGAACGCCAGAGTATAGCTGGATATCTCCCCTCACAAAGAAAAAAAATAAAAAGATTACTTAAACATAATTACTCTTACTTAATGGGGATGTTATATTATGTAACTTCAAGGGAATCAAAGAGGATTATAAGAGAAAACTATGAGCAACATCTGCCATCAAATTGCCAACTTTATCCTAGTCAAAGTGAACAGATTCCTAGAAATCACAAACTGCAAAAACTGACTGTGGAAAATAGATGGCAGTTCCTCAGAATTTTTATCTAAGCTAGTGGTCCCACTCCCAGGAGTGTAATCCAAAGGACAAACAAGCATTTAAATACTTGTTTATGACAGTTCATATGACTAGGCACATTTACCAAAAGGTGGGAAAAACTCCAATGTTCATCATAAACAAAAAGTGAAAAGCAATAAAGTACTGATGATGTTATGGAGGAAGCTAAAAAAATATGCTAACTGAAAGACGTCTATCACAAGGGTAACATATAGTTACCTGAACATTTCATGTAACAGACCACTTACATGAAATGCTCAGATTAGGGATCAGAGGGATAGTATGGTGCATAGGGCACTTGTCTTGCACACGGCCAATCTAGACTACCTAGGTTCAATCCCCAGCACCCCATATAGTTCCCCGAACTCATTAGGTGTCTGTATGACTGAAACCTGACCATCATCAGCTTTGTAACTCTGTATCTCACAGTGACTCAAAAATAAATAAGTAAACACTATTTAAAAAAATTTTTATGGGCTGGAGTGATAGCACAGTGGGTAGGGCATATGCCTTCCACGCAGCCGACCCGGGTTCAATTCCCAGCATCTCATGGTCCCCTGAGCGCTGCTAGGAATAATTCCTGAGTGCAGAGCCAAGAATGACCCCTGTGCATTGCCGGGTGTGCCCCCCCCCCCGAAAAAAAAGGAAAAAAAATTTTTTTAAAAGGAACAATCCCTGAGCATTGCTAAATGTTTCTCACAGTGATCTCACGGTGTATCTCATGGTCATCTGTATCTCACAGTAACTCAAAATAAATAAACATCCTAAAAAAATTTTTTTGAAAGGAATAACCCCTGAGCATTGCTAAATATGACCCAAAAACAAACCAAAAATTTTAAAAAGAATTAAAGATGTTCAGATTAGGTAAACTCATAGACAAAATCCAAGAAATTTTATTAAAACAGGAAGTTTTTTTATATAAAACAGGAAGTTTTAATAAATGCTTAAATTGTATGGGGCTTAGCCAGAGAGTTGATAATACTTGTCTAGCTATGGGCCAACCATAGTTCAATCCCTAGCAGTCCCACATGGTCCCAGGAACAACCTCATACACAGAGCTAGAAATAGACCCTCACACCTCTGCACGAATGCTGGGTGTGGCCCATGGAAAAAACAGAAAAAAAGAAAAATGAATGTGTATGGGGATTCAGGTGTGAGGTTCAGTCCCTGACAAATGTGTGAGGTCTTCTTTGGAACTATAGTATTGTGAGTGTACTGAATGCCAAAGAATCATGCCATTTAAAATCATTAATTTTATATTATGTGAATTGCACCTCAGTAAAAATTAAGTAACAACTCTGTGCCAGAGGGAGCAGCACAGCTTCCCAGCTCTAACCTGTTTGAGCCTAGTACCTGAAGTAACTGGGCTTTGGCAGAGAAGTGGAGCTGCTTTTGGTTAGAGTGGTAAATCTACTACCGGAAGGAGCAGCTGCAGGTAGCTCCCAGAAGGATGGGCTTTTGGGCCTGGATTTGCTATGGGTTTAGTCCTCGTAATTCCCCTACTTCCAGGCTTGTGGAGTTGGGCCCCACATGATGTGTTGTGCTAGATGTTTCCATCACCTGTTGATGGTGGGGCCTTGGGCAAAATATCCTAAACTATGCTGGAACTTGCCTGTACTGGAACTAATAAATATTGAAGGCCAAGTGCAGGATAGTCTGCCAATCTGAGTTCTCCCTGGAATTTCCATTCACCATATTCCATCAATAATAAGACCTAGCTTTTGACAACTGAGAGCTGATGTTGTTTTACCACCTATAGTGTGCATGTTTACTGGTAATACATTTTCTAGTTGTGTATTTTTGTATTTGTCAGTTGAGGTTTGTTCTCCTTTCCAAGCCCGTGGCATGGTGAATTAATAGGTGCTTGATAAATGTTGGCTACATGAATGAGTGAAAGAAAAAACTCTATATTTAAAATATTCTAACTTTGGCTTTGCCATCTGTTGGCAGTTTGACAGGACAGGAGAAAGGCTGTATAATCTTTTAAGTTTGGTTTTCTAATCACCCAGTCACTGTAATAATAGCCACCCTCACACTGTGAGGCTTACAGAAGTGCCATATAGGTGAGCACTCACTCTTGAAAAACACCAGCTCATTGAAAAGTTATTAGTTTAATAGAATTCTTTTTTGTAAGAATACAAATGGAAATTTATTTGAATACAAGAGGAAGTTGGTTTTTAGGGAAGGGAAATAAGATTGGGGGTACTTTTTGTATTTAAACTTCATTGCAGGTCAATGCATTTCGGTGTTTCAGGGGTTCTTTAAGTTGGGGTCGAGTCATCTGCAGACAGGAAAGAAACAGACTTTAGAAACTCAAAAAAATCACCTATGTGTGACCCAGCTCCAGTTTTGCATTACACGTCTGGACAAGGCTCTCAATTGATTTCTCTTTCAATATCCACCCTCGTGCTGGGCGTTGCCGGAAGTCTGGATTCAGTCTGTTGGCCCAGCATTTCCAAGACTCACCTCGTAGCAAGCTCACCTTGTGGCTGGCTGCTCTAGCGTTTTGATCTTTTAGAACCTGGACAGGGAGCTGACAGGGAGGGGTGGCTTGGGCAGAGACGGAACAGCACTGCTGTGCTTCCAGCTGAGTTCAAAGGAAAATGTGCCCGCCCCTATAATGGGCACAAAAGGCGTCACTCACTCCTGGCCCGGCCCCCTCCTAGTCAACTGTGCAAGGCTGGGAGTCCCCAACTAGAGGGCGCAAAGCGAAACCAAGCTGCAACTGCGCAGCTGCCTCGACTGCAGACCGAACACTCAGTTTCAGACTTACGATCTCCCAATCCAAAGCCTTCTCTCTGGTTGTGGAGAGCATCCTAAGGTCGCTAGAACAAAACCCATGTTTTGACCGAAGCTCCTATTTTGGACCCATAAGGGTCCATGCAATGATCTGGCTTCTACCCTCCTGATTTCGTTGCGTATGCAACCCAGCCTGCCGTTCTGGTGCTCTGATGTCTTTTACATTTGAGTTTCTCTACCTAATAGTGAGAGTGCCTTTTCCTCTCAGTCATGTTCGTTAACCATCCTTTCGAGGCACACCTTATTCTCATCCACGATGCTGGTTTTACAAACTCCGCCTCTCTCGGAGAGTAAATTCTAGAAAAGTGGGACTCCTGTTCTGTCCCCTTCACTTTGTTTTTATTGTTGGGGATTATACTCTGCTGTTCTCCGTGGTGGCGGAGGCTAGCTAGACGAATGTAAGCAGCTCCAACCAGCTTAGACGTCACAATGACTTGAACCCCTTTTCCCATCCCACGCCTCTTCGCTTTTTTTTTTTTTTTGTCCTCCCGAGGGGGCTGGTCGAAAAGCACGAGCAAATGTGTTTGGGTTAAATCTCAGGTAACATAGAGTAATAACTACCTTTCAAGTTTAGTTATTGCCAAATTTACTCATTTGTCTGCGTCCCTATTCTATTTTTATTCTATTTTCTAATTCTTCGCGCAGACCCAGTTTGAGGTCCGCCCAACCATCTTCTGATTGGTCATTGTTCTCCGCCTCTGCGCCCCACCCAGTTCGAGGTCCGCCCAACCATCTTCTGATTGGTCACTGTTCTCCGCCACTGCGCCCCACACAGAAATTCCAATTGCAGAAGAAGAGAGAGGATGGGCAGGATCTGGTCCCACCCAGTCACTTAGTGCTCCTGCAGTGCGGCTCCCTCCCTTCTCGCTTAGTGACTGCTCCGCTCAGTTCTCTCCTACTGGTTCCCCCAACAGTCTTAGCACTCCAGTTCTAAGTCGAATTTATTAGTAACTCGGAAGCTATATTTCAGTATATTCGATGTCATAATTTATCTTAAAAATCCTGACTTAGTGTTTTAGGCAGACAGGAGTGGACATAGGGAGATATGGCTGTGGTGAAAAATATATTATGCTGCTTGCGGGCAACTACTACAAACATAACCCGATCTCCCTCTCTCAATGCTCTCTTGCAAAAACAGAAAGTTTAAGAGAAGAAAAAGCTGGAGGGGGTCTTGTTTGAAGATGCCCCTGGTACCTCCTGGAAAAGCTCTACCAAACTCCTTCTGCATAGAGTGGAAGGCTAGATTTGGCTTATTAAAATGCATTAAGGTTGGAAGGGGGTGACGTATATCTGCAAGATTAAGTCAAGTGCAGATGAATTTTGGAAAGTGCAGCACGGGTTGGTTCAGGACCTAAGTAAGCTAATAAGGACATCGAGTGCCAGCATTGAATGAATGTGGCTGGTGAGCTAGTTTGGAGGAACAGTGTTAATTCACTACAGTTCTAAAGCTGTCAATGCTCCACTGTCTTGGGCTGCCAGGAAAACGGAATAGGTGAGGAGGGCGGGGAGAAAGCCTCGGGAGCCAATGGAATTTATGGGATGGGCTTTGAAGTGCGTAAGTTTCCAACTCACAGCTCCGAACTGAGACACAAGCTCACTCAGTTCAGCTCTCTCCAAGGGCTAGATATTGGGGTGGTCCAGCTGGAGGGCAATAGATGAGCTGAGTGAAAAGGCTGAAAGCGATCCCCCGGCTAACTTTCGCAGCAGAAAAAGGAGTGCGCTGGGTAGCGGCTGGAGTTCAGGGTTTTATTTTAGCTAACTCACCAGCTGGACCCATCTCTGGGTCTATAGGAGCGTGACCACCATGGTGGGTGCCCCTTACCGCCACGCGCAAGTACTGGACAACGTGGCGGTGGCCCCTCTCCTCAGCCAGGTCCACGGGCAGGCGGCCCCAAGCATCGCGCACGTCCAGCCGCGCCCCGGCTTGGTGCAGCTCCACCAGCGTCTCCAGGAAGCCCTCCCGGGCTGCGTCGTGCACGGGTCGGGTAAGGGTGACTGGGTCTGCGCAGTTGGGGTTCGCACCGTGGAGCAGCAGCAGGTTGGCCACCCGGGTGCTGCCCATCATCATGACCTGTGTGGAGACAGCAGAGGGGTCAGGAGATGGCAGATGACAAAGGCAGTGGCAGGATTCATTTCATTTAGCAACACAACGCTGCAATTTGTGTCAGTTGAGCCACGTTCAAGCACAAGCCACCTGTAGTATACACCAATGTCAATGGTTAGAGAAATTATTAGCCACTGCATAAGCAACAGTTGCTTAGTTAGTTACTTTGTTTTCACTTCCCAACTCCCTTAACCCATTCTCTGGGGGGGGCGGGGAGCTGGGGGAGGAATTGAATTTCCTTATTTTCTTCACAAAAACTTTTTTTGTGGTACTACAGTCACACATAGAAAACCCTACCAGGCAACAGCAAAAGGGTAAAGGACAAAGTGACTTTCACTAGAGTCACTTTTAATATGGAATTATGAGAATTATATGTGATTTGGGGCTTACACATCTTTAGGCTCTCTTAGCTTCCTGGAACTTTAAAATATCACTATCAGTAAAAATAGGGTTTGTCTAGATAGCCATAAAATTCCTTGTGGCAAACTAATACTTTACAAAGATATCCTAAAATTGGAAAACTGTAAATATGTTACTTTACATGGAAGAAAGGATTTTGTAGGGTGCTGAGATCCAGGATTTTGAAGGAACTTGCCCTAAATTGTTAGAATAGACTCTCAAAGTAGTTACATGTTTTCATTTAAGAGGGACAGGTCTGTGGTTTAAACTGGTATGTTTGTGATAATTTGAAGCCGAAATAGAAAATTAGGACACCTCTGTAACTTATAGTCAGTTCATTATTCAGGAGGTGCTCACTTCATGTGATCATCAAATCATCTTTGAATCAAAGATATTACCAAAGGGAAACTTTTAAAGCACTGTCACAATCATAGCAAACCTACCATTTGAATGTTTCATGGTGGATGGTTGTAGTTGGTAATTTTGTTTTAGGGTAATCATTGTTTAGTTATATTTATGGCTACATTTATGGTATATTTACATTAATATTTAGCTAGCATAACATTCAATTGTCATAATATTCAGAATATTAGATACCATATAAGGAGAAATTTTTAGTTACATTCTGCACTAAATGTAAATCACCAAGTTTGTTCAAATTAAGGAACCAAGTTACATATATATGTATATATATATATATATATATATACACACACACACACTATAGTTGCTAACTCTTGCCTGATGAAAGTGAAACTAATTTCCAAAAAAAGACAACAAAGGAAATCTACATGAACCAAACCACATGATAAAGAGGAATAAGAAAATGCACTGTGAAAAAATGTATAGGGGGTGTACATTTCACTTACACAAGTGAACATTATTACTTACACAAGACTAGTTATTTACACAAGATTTTGAATAGAGCATGGGGTCAATTTCCAGAGTAAAGGAGAGCAACTTTCAAGAATGCCAACTTTCAGAATTCAGACTGCAAGTAACATTGCTATCATTTACATGTCTAATATCTGCTCTTAGAAGTAACTAACCTCCATGTCTGTATGTAATGCAAATGAGAAAAATAATGCGGAAAGCCAGATAAACATTTTTGAAATGTTGAAATGATGAAGTTCTTCATCTTGGCGATAAAAATGGCTTTATGGATCTATTGTATTTAACAGTGCTAAAGGTTAAAATTTTCCTACCATTTAAATCATAATAGCAATCCAAACATAGAAGATAATGATTAAATTAATCAAATAGTTATTAGGTGCTTAAATCCACATAAGATACTCAATATTTATTTTTCTTCTAAACTAAGTATTTTTAAGTAAGGATTTTGGTTTAGAACCCAAAATCATGCTCCCCTTCCCTATTCTCATCCTTCTTATGAAATAATTATAATTATCTATTTTCCTTTTATATTTAAACAGCCAAGCTTTCTTCTAACTTAGCCTAGAACCCCAGGGTTGAACTTTTAGTCTTCAAGTAACTGACAAGTTTTAAAGACAACAAATAAAGAATCATTAATGAATTGTTTTTAAAAAGAACTTTTTTTGTTTTTTCACAATCACACAATCTCTCTGGTTTACAATTTTCCAGTTGTAGACCATCTCTCAAAAACTATTCACATGTCCAACTCTTAATAATCTTTTATTTAAAGATATTTTTAAGTACCCATTTTATTTAAATGTGTACAAAATGTATTTTTTTCTTTTTGGGTCACACCCGGTGATGCACAGGAGATACTCCTGACTTTGCACAAAATGTATTTTATAAAGCATAGTTTCAGGGAAGGCAGACCCATTCGTAATGTCCCTGTAAGTTATTTTTCCATTCTCTTGCTAAGCCAGTTTTTGTGAAATGTGTTCATGGGTTTAGTATAAATTCTATTTTTTGAGAATTAGAAATTATTTTCGATACTTGGATAAAATACTGCCAGCTGAGATTCGCGAAGGCAAAATGAGCACACAAAAAATTTGAACACAAACACAAAACCACACAAAATTCCCCCCCCTCCCGTTCCCCAACTAGAGTGGTGGTGGGAGAGAAGACATTTCTTAACAAAGAGGAATTGAAAACTATTCCACATAAATTAATCTAGGGTCAAAAGTAGCAAAATTAAAAGGTGCTAATCTCCCCTCCAGTTTCTTTCTTTCTTTCTTTCTTTCTTTCTTTCTTTCTTTCTTTCTTTCTTTCTCTCTCTCTCTCTCTCTCTTTATTTTACAAAAAGAACCCAAGTTTGACAGGAAGCTAATCACAAAGTCTGAGAAATGTATATAATTGAGTTCGAATGGGAATCATTATTTTCCCTCCAATTTTAACGTAACCAAATTGGCACTACTTCGGGAGCGGTAATACTAATGAAGAAAATTCCTAGTCTATTTTCTAAATTCTTGCAACAAGCATATACTTTAAGTAAAAAATAAACGCAATTCGTAGCTGTGGATCATTTTAGGACATTTATTCCTGCTTTTATAGCTGTGGGGATTAGCACTGAAATCCCTTTTAGGAAGGAGGAGGATCCGTTCTATCCAGGGTTCTGTGAGTTGGGGGTGACGTGCAAAGCAATCTTATATTTAACATCGTGCATTTCACCCTGCACGTCCGCGAATTTCGTATCCGATAAAGAACACACCTCGAGTTGTGAAATTACACTGGCCTCTCCCTCTCCAAGCCGACAAGCCCAGTCTACAAAAGATGGGCCGCCCCGGCGCCTCCTCGTTCCTGGGGTCGCTTCCCGAGCCAATTGTAGGGGGGGGGGGTTGGGGCTGGGGTGGGAGGGAGGGGATCACCAAGAAGTGTCTAACTCCCGATCCCACCTTGAGAAAGTGCTCCCCCTGCCCCTCCACCCCCCACCCCCTAACCCCAGGGCGTTTTGGCAGACCCTTAGAGCAGAAGCCCCTTCGATCTCAACCTCCGGGGCAGCGGACGCGAGCGACCCACCTGGATCGCGCTCCGACCAAGACTGTTGGTCGCGTTGGGGGGTACCCCGGCCTGCAGCAGCGCCCGCACCTCCTCCGCCCGGCCGCCCGCCGCCGCGCTCGCCAGCCGATCAGCTGCACGTTCCATGCCGAGACTGCCCGGGCCGCGCCAACGAGCGCCAGCTGCCCGCCCCGCCCGCCCAGCGGAAGCGATCCCCAGATTCGGCCCCTCGGCCCCTCCTTATTTCCCCGCCGGGGAGGGGTGCGGGGCGCGCGAGGGCGGCTCCCTTGCTCCCCGCACGCGGCCGGTGGTACCTCCACCCCCACCGAGGTGGCCGCACTAGGGGGACCCTCCGCGGTCACCCCGCGCCAGCGGGGGGTGGTGGCGGGAAGGGTCCCGGACGCCTCTCCACCAGCCCCATCCCAAATCCCCGCCACCCCCCACTACCCCGGGGCGCTGCGCTCCGGGGCCCCGCCGCGCCCCGCCACTGCGCGGGCCCGCTCACGCCCTGCCCTGCCCCCAGCTTCCTCTCTGCACTTTCACAAGCCCCAGGCCATTCAAAAGCCCGCGGCACCGGCCTCCTGGAACTGCCCAGCTCCAAGCTGCGTGTCAGTAGGTACAGAGAAAGAACAAGTCATGCTTCCCCTTTTAGTCGTCGCTGGCGAGCTGAAAAAGTTCCTCCTGTTCAGAGCCCTAACGAGGCCCCTTGGAGCCCAAGCGCCCCCCGGCAAGCATAGTGAGGGTACACGGTCCCCACCGCCCTCCTCCAACACTGGAACCAGCACAGTGTGCCGGGCCGACACTTGGGGGGAGGGACGGGATCTCCCCCTGTCCTCAACCTCCTCTCGAAGCCTCAGAAGGTGGTTCCGGGAAGCTAAGGCAATTGCGGGGATGGTGGAGATTTCTGCGTCTAGAGGAAAGCGCCGTGGGAGTCACTGGATTGATATCTCCGTTCTACTCTGGGGACAATCGGGTGGAGACGAGGGGGGCGGAGGAGACTCCCTGTACCGCGGCGGGCCGCCCACCACCCGGCGAGTGACAACGGCCTGACCGACCTTATGAGTTGGTGCTTGGATACCGCGGTGCAGCGGTGCTGGGTGCCACCAGGGCTATAGGCAGGGGGACTAGGGTGTGTGGGTGTGGGTAGGGGGCTGAGGGGACCCATGGCTACACGCTGGTGTACTCGGCGTCTGGATCGAAATTGGTAATTTCGCCTATGTGGTTTGGGGACGGGACACACGCCGGGCTGTGCTAAAATCACTCCTGGTAACGGTCACATGGGGTGAAGAAGTGTTAAGCGGAATCGATCGCGTGCAAAGCAAGCACCCCTGCCGCTGCACTATTTCTCTGGTCTGTGTATTTTTAAAAGAGCGTTCAAAACTCTAGAAGCAGAGTTGCGTGGTGATTCAGAGTCCAAGACTCATATTGTCCTGAGTTCTCCTCTCCCGGTTCTCCCTGGATGGCTTCTTTTGAAAACCCGGAGGGCGCGATCAATGTCGTCAGTTGTTAGGTGGGTGAAATATGAAGTTTTAAAATTATGTTAATCGAAACCCTTAGGGAATGACGAGTTATTTTAAAAACTCCTCAGTAAATCACCACGCCCTGGGTATTTTCCTTCAGGTTTCTCTAATCATTTGGGCAGCGGTGGTGTGGAAAATTCAAACTGTAGCAGAGAACTTAAATTTTACATCAGCGGGACTGGAGAGGTAGTGCAGCTGGTAAGGGGTTTGCTTTGTATAAGGCTGACCCGGGGTTTAATCCCTGCAGAGCCAGGAGTAAGTCCTGAGCATACCCCAGAGTGCCCACCCCCTCCAAAATTACTTTACTTGAGGCTTAGTTTGAGGATTTGAACGAAGGGGGAGCTGCAGTGATGAGAGGGAGATAACACATTTCCCTTGTAATATATCTGGCTTTTAGAACACTATGAAAATTAATTTGTCACCATAAGTGGTTTTTAATGTTGGGGACCAAAGAGTAAGCACATTCAATGGTCTGTTGAAAGCTCAAAACCTTGCCCTCAAAAAATAAAGCATAATGGGAATATAGTATGATGGGCCAGAGATAGTTAAGGGGTTAAGAAGCTTGCCTTGTAAGTAGCTGATTGCATTTGAACAAAGCATATGGTGCCTAGCATCCTGAGGAGTGACCCATAACCATTGCTGGGTGTGACACAAACCCTTCTCCCTACCCCAAAGTATGAAATTTTTGTTGAAGTGTGTCCACTTCCAGGTTTTAGATATGCTGATAATAGCTCAAGCACTTGGTATTGGAGATCCCAAAAGATTATTGTATCCTAAGTGGCTTCCTTAACGTAGATATTGACTAATGCTTTGTTAGAAACCTTGTATGAGAGTGAAAGCTTTCTCTGAGTTTACCTTTTGAAGAACTTACCATCCTACTTCAGGAGAAATGAAAGATAAATCCCAGTGCTAGTTACACAAGTCTCAATTCCATATATGTAAGATGGAATTCATGCCTTGATAACATAGTGATGTCAAAGAACTTTTTCAATTCCAAAGTTTACTGGTGTTTTTTATTATCATCCCCAAACTTCCTTTTTGCTTTCTCTTCCCTAAGAATGCCTTTACCTTATTTAGGTTTTTGTTACATTGGCAATTTTGAAAATTCATATTATGGAAAAAACCTGTTTCAATTTTAAGCAGTCTTTTTAAGGAAAAAAAAAAACCTGCCACTTGTTTATTCATACCACAACTTCAGAGGCTACAGGAAGAGCAGGGTTGAGGACTGTTAAACATAGGGACTCTAAGACACGACTGCTGTGGAATCACTGTGTAACTTTAAACAAAGTTACTTAATATTTCTTGGCTGCAGTTTCCTCCTCTGTGTAGTAAACAGAGTATATAGAGAGAAAAATACAAAATAATGAAAAGGGGGCCAAATTTATTCTTAGGGTTTAACTGAAGTTTCCATGGGTGCTCAATAGGTTTAACCAAAGTTTCCATGGGTGCTCAATAGTAACTGTAGTCTCAAAAAGCATACAAATGTCAAAGCCATAAAGAAGTGTTCCAGAGATGAGATGAGAATATGAGCAAGGGCAGAGAAGTCTGGGAACCCTAAAAATAATCGGGATGGAGAAGCTGAAAAAAATAAAGTTCTAGAGAGCTTGCAAAGGAGCCTGTGACAGGTACCCAGATTATCAGAAGAAAAATCAGGAGTGAATGCAAGGGCAAGGAGATGGGGACTGGGCTTTGTAGAGACATTTCAAAGTTTAGTTGTGGTAGCTCAAGGTAAAGCTGTGAAGAAGGAGAGAAGGCAACAGAGATCTGGGCAATTAACACTGAGGCAATATAGGCTACTTTTGAGGGAGGATGTTACAGAAACATCTGACCACAGAAACATCTCTTTATTTAAAGACACTTAAAATGGGACCACTCCGGTAATATAAATAATAGTAATTCTAGAGGCAAATATTAATCTAACACATCCCCAGGAAAAAGCAGGAAGATACTTGGCAAGAGAGTTATTTTGTTATTAGGTTCTGGCTCTAATGAGGCATTTCAGGATTGGCAACGTATTGTATGGCATGCAAACATATGAAAAGCAGCATTATTTATTGGGGAAAAATTAAAGTTTTGGGAAAATAACTCTAAATTGGAACAAAGGGATATAGCCCTGATGTTCCTAATAGACTTTCTTATTTTTTATTAATTTGGCTTTGGGATCACACCCTGTGGTGCTCAGGCAGGGCTTATTTCTGTGTTCAGGGATCACTTCTGGCTGGGGCAAAGGCTGGGTGACACTATGGTGTATGGGGATTGACCACCTGCAAGGCAAACACCCTACCCATGAAACAATCTCTCCAGCCCTAGCCTGATTTCTTAAATTGGAATATTCTTTGAGACTATTTTTAGCTTTAATGTCCAGATATTTAGAATAAGCCCTTTGTTTAAAATTTATAAAGTTATTAAGCCAGGTGAGACACACACTGGTAATTTTTAAAAAACTCCTCTCTCCTTGTTTCACTCAATGTTAGTACTGTTTACTATAAAAAAATATCTGTGCAATGGATTCATGAAATGAGGAATATCTGTAGCTCATGGAAACCATTACTCCTTAAACTCAATACTTTTATGTTAAGATTCTTAGGGTGAATTGTTTTTAAATTTAGGATAAATTATTTATATTTATTTGTAGCTACTCTACCAATTGAGAAAACTGTAAGAGTAACACAGAATATGTGTATATGTATTATAGCTATATATAGCACTATAGCCATACACATATGTAGCTACAGTATATATAATATAGTTTGTAAAGAACTGTATAGTTTGTTTTGTGTAGTTGGTTTATGAGCACAGATTTTATAGTTAACATGTCAAGGAACTAATAAATATAAGGCATATATGTAATTAGAGGAAAGACATAAATAGAGACAATAGGAAATTCACTCAAAGTTGTCGTGAAAAGCATAATGGCTACCATTTGTTGAACTCTAACTAGGTGAGAAGCATTAATGAGTTTTACATATACAATTCTAATTCTACAACTTTCCTAGGGGATAGAGTTTCTTCATAAATTGGGATGGGGTAGGAGGGATGAATCCCAGCATGGGCAAGTATCACTGAACATGGAGACGAAGTCAAACTCACCATTCCCAGCTCTTGGGGTGGTTCACACTCTCTCCATGATGTTTCCCTGTTAGTTTGTGTAGTGTCCTACCCACTGTTCTATCTCTCAAACCCCTCATGTTTTTTAATGTTTTTTCCTGATTATATGTCATATATGTTAAAAAGATTTAAAGAATAAAAAATATAAGAAAAGTTTTTTTGAACACTATATAAAAGCAATAACTATACTATTTAAAAAATATTTTCCTTCTGGGCTGGAGAGATAACATAGCAGGTGTGGCACTTACCTTGCATAAGGGTTCCCTGAGTAAAGGAAGAGTAATCCCTGAGTACATAGCAAAGGGTAAACCTTGAGCATCCAGGGTGTGGCCCCAAACCAAAATATTTTTCTTTTCTTTTCCTTTGTTCATTTCTTTTGTATAATGCAGCTTTGGTATAAACATTTCCTCACTCAACCCTCCAGAATTTTCCCCAGATTCTCTAAAAATTAATCTTAAATAATTTTAATAGATTTAATGTATCCCAATGAAAACATTATAGTTTCCTTACTGATGTTCC